TATTTAATAGAATGGGCAAGGGGATTAGAATCTATTGGTGCAGGAGAAGTCAGTAATTTAATAAGTGGATACAAAAAAATTGTTTATAAAGAAAAAGTGGAAACTAAGAAAACAGAAATAAAATCAACTAAATTACTTATAGTTGGTCTTACAGGTGATGGTAAAAGTTCATTAGGTAATTTTATCCTTAAAAAGAATACTTTTAAAGTAAGTGATGATCCAAAATCAGTTACAAAAAAAGCCATTGGAGAATTTGTAGAAGATGATAGAAGCAATATATTTGTTGTTGATACTCCTGGTCTTCAAGATTCTGATGGGTTTGACAATGAAGGTATTCAAAAAATTATTGATTTTGTTAAAGCTACAGGATTACAAGGAATAATATTAACATTGAACTTCAACGTGGACAGGTTTTCTGCTAATACTCAACAAGTTGTTAAAACTGTATGTGATAGTTTCCCAATAAAAGACTTTTGGAAACATGTATGTATTGTATGGACTAAGTGTTATTGCCACTTCTCAAAAAAGAAACTTGAAAAAGCTAAAAAGGCAAAAAATAAATTCAAAGGAGAACTGATTGAATTTATTAAACAAAAAATGGGACAAATGAAAACATTGATATTCCAATGTTTTTTATAGACTCTGACCCAGATGATGACGATGATGATGACGATAGTAATGATAATACACGATCAGAAGAAGAAAGAGAAAAAATAATAGAATGGGCAAGGGGATTAGAATCTATTAGTGAAGAAGAAGTCAGTAATTTAATAAGTGAATACAAAGAAATTGTTTATGAAGAAAAAGTGGAAACTAAAATTATAGAAAAAACAGAATACAGTATAACTTATGAAACAAAGACTTATAGAAGAGGTAATAAAGTAATGTATACTGGAGAAGTAGAAGAAGGAGAGTGGGGTGTAATTAACAGTGTTACCAAAACAGAAAAACTGTATAATGAAGAAGAAGAAAACAACAAAATTGAAATGAGAGTAGAAGAAATTGAAAAGAGAAAGGAAGAGTTTAAAAGAAGGCAAGAAGAAATAAGAAAATTAGAAAAAAAGAAAAAAATAAGAAAGGTAGTAGGGGTTGTTTCACTTGCTGCTGGTGGTGTTGCTCTAGGTATTGCTACTGGTGGTATTGGACTCATTGCTGTTGCTGCTGGTGCTGCTGCTGGTGTTGGTGTTGGTGCTGGTGCTGGTGCTGTTAAGACGGTTGGTCTTGGAGTACAAATTGTAACTTCAGTTGGTTATTTTCTTGCTCGACGTCGTTTTCTAAAAAACCTTGTTAACAAACTCAAGGATAAAAATCATTGAAACAGACAAGTTGACAATGTTGAGATGATTTAAGTTTTAATTTCAATTAGTAACAAATGAATAACAGAGACAATTGAAATTTATTTGAATAATATAAAATGATGTTTTTTTATGTTGAAGATAAAGATAGTGATGAACTTATTGTTTATTTTATGAATATATAATTTTGAACTCTTTAAAATGTGTTTAGATGATAATATATTCTCATTATTCAATTATTTTATGTGATTTTAATGTTTCTTGTTATAATATTTTTAATAACTATTTCATTTTTACTTTAATTTTTTATTTACTGTTATTATTATTCGAGTTATAGTTGTTTTTGTTATTTCTTCTATTTTCATTAACTATTATGTCTTGAATAAATATTTATTGTACTTATGATATATTTTATTTTTATATTTCTTATTATTGTATTAATTACACTCATTGTTTTTATTCAATGTTAAATATCATCTTTGTTTATTATTATTCTTTTTGTTCTAAGTAATCATTTGTTTTTGTTTATTATTTTACTGTTTTTCATGTATAATATTCAATATTCTCATTCTTTCATTTGATTTTTATTATATTCTTATATGAAATATTCTTATTTAATGATTTCTTGTTTATTCTGTCTTATCTATTTCATATTAGTATTTTAAATCATAAATACAAACTTAACTTTTTAATTATTCCATTACAATTTCAATTGATTCTTTCAATTCAATTAAATTGATGAAATGTTAAAAAGAGAATCAAGAAATGAAAAATAAATAATCAGAGTATAAATCAAATTCATTTTAGTCAAAACAAAATTGATAATCAAATAGAAGTAACAATCAATGATTTGGTTCATTAATCAAATATATACACACAATAACCAACAAGAATAATGAAATTAATAATCCATTTATTTTATTTAATTTTACAAATGTTTTAACAATTTTTGAAAATAAAAATTAATGAATATTATGTAAATAATTAACTATGTATTTGAATATGGTATTGATTTGATAAGAGAGATGTATTAACATAATTTGTTATTATTCTTTTGATCTAAAATTGATGTTTATTTATAAAACACTTCTTATAATTTTAATGATAATAACAAATAAATAAAAAGAGGGTAATTGTAGATATGTAATTTTATTTTATAATTATTTCTAATTTATCTTTTGATAACAACCTGTCTATAGAAATATTGTAATAGTAATTAAGAATTAATTTATATTTGAAAATATTGAAATATGAATGATGTTTAATTTAAATTAAGAATAAAAAACATGAAAATATACCAAATGTAATGTTAATAAAAAGGAAAATGAAAGTAAAATAAAGAATAAAAAGAATAATTAAATAAAAATAAATCAAAATCATTTAATGATATATTTTATTAAATAATGTAAATAAATGGTAGGACAAATGAGTATTTAAACATAAACTAAGAAAGATATATTCATTAAAATGATCAATTTATTACTTCTATTTATTACATTTTCATTATCAAAACAATGTAGTGAATACAATCAAGGATATGAAATAGATACAGTAGATAGTGCATTTGAATGTATTGAATCAATTGAAACAACAGAAAAAGAAAATGAAGATATTATTAATGGATTAAAAGAATATTTGGAAGTATATGTTTTAAAAGATATATTAAAGAATCCACCACAACCATCATTTTCAAATAATTATTATGAAAAAGTGGATATTGATGAACAACTAAATAAAGTAAATACAAAAACAACAAGTATGTATGAATTCTATTCTCAAATACAAAATCTTATTATTTCAACAAGAGATTCTTCACTTACAATTTTATGTTGATGAAAAACTTAATAAACCAAATTCAGAATTAGTTTATTTTGTTTATTTCCTTCCATTTACAATATATATTGATAATAATAAGAAAATGTATTTAATTCCTAGAAACGAACTCCTTGATACTCCTTTTGGTGTTCCAGAAATAGTTAATAATAAAAATGTAGCAGTTAAAACAATAAATGGAGAAGATCCATTTAATATTATTCGTGAATTTGGAAAGAAATATATGGGATTAAAATGTCCACATGCACAGTTTACATTAGCAAAAGATTATTTAGTTGAAGGCAGTTTGAGTGGTACACCATTATCAAAAGAATATTTAAACACACCAATAAGTATTACATGGGAAAATGAAGAAAGTGTAACAGTTAATTATAAGATAATTAGATTTAACAGATCAAATCAGAAATTCCAACAAGCACTTGAAAGAAGTAAGAGAAGGGGAATAAGAGATGTGTTAAGAATAGAAGATTTAGAAGAAACAAATAAAACAAGAACAAAAGAAAATGAAAATAATGAATATCAACCAAATTGTTCTCCTGAAAATAAAGTATGTTGTTTAACAACAAGTAATAAAGTAAATACATTAATTGTAAAAACTTTTAGTATTAGAGAAGAAAACATATTAAATGAAATAGCTGAATTTCTAGATAAATTAGAAGAATGTGTTAATTCATTCTATTCAAATGAATATCCAATTCAAGTAATATTTCCAAAGAATAATGGAGGTTCAGTAGTACCACTTGCACAGTTAGTTGAAAAAATGATATCACCATATGATGATGTAGATTACATTGGGTCAGTAAGAATATCAGATTTCACAGAAGATATAATTAAAAAATCATATATTGAATTAATGTATGATCCAGAAACATGTGAAAGAAGAGAACAAGAAAATAACCCAAAAACATTTGGAGAATGGTATTCAAATCCAAAAATTATTAAATATGGTGATGTTGAACTAAAGTTTCACAACCTTCTAGTTTGATTTTACCAACAATTTATAAATTACCATATACAAAGATTTACTGGTGATGGTCACTCCAAGAAAACCAACAGAAATAGTAGTTTATACTGATTCATATTGTTATTCTGCCTGTTCGTGGGTAACAAAAGGATTAAAAGAATGGGGAGGAGCTATTCTTGTTGGATTTGATGGTGATCCTAATGGTAAAGATGAAGAATTTGAAGTAGGATTATCACCATCTAATAATATTCCAAATATAAATAATATAGATGAAGATAGTATTTTAAAACAATATGGATATAATCTTGGATTAACTGTTATAGAAACATATAGATTTAATTATGAATATAATGAAAGTATTCCTAGAGAATTCTTAACTGATATGATAGATGAAAGAGTGAATATTTATCAATTTGATCAAACAGAAAAAGTGATTAAAGAATTTGAAGAAGAAACAAAGAAGATAGTAGAGAAATATAAAACAAAATGTAATCCAAAGAATAAAAGATTAGTTAAAAGAGATGAAAAATGTGATAAAGAAATTAATATAGAACATGGACATGGAGGATATGAATGTGGAGATAATGGAGAATGGAGTACAAAATGTGTATTATCATATTGTGATGATGGATATAAATTTGATTATAATAATAATAAATGTATTGAAGGTGTATGTGTTAATCCATCAACAGAATCAGAATCAGATAATGGAACACTAAGCATGACAGTAAATCTAGTCATGATAATAATTGGAATAATCACATTAATTCTCTAATTGAAGAAAGAATAATTTAATAAATAATAATTATGTTAATAAAATATAAAGAGAATGAAATAAATAGATTTATATCAAATAAAATAATAGAGAGAAGATAATTTAATAATAAATAAAAATAATAGAAATAAAAAGAATAAAGAATAATAAAATAGAAATAAATGAAATAAATCATGAAGAAATATTATTTATCAATAATAATATAATAAAATATAAAATCATATAACATAAATCATAAATAAATAAAATAAGAAATAATGAACAATATATTAACAAAGTGTGTAAGAAATAAAGATATAATAACATAAAATAAAATTAATAAATAAGAAATAAAAGATATATTAATAAATAATAAATCATAAATAAAATAGAATATGAAATCTATCAACATTAAAATATATTTTAATCAATAGTAAATCATAACAACAATTCATTCAATTATATTAAATAATAAGTTAAATAAAAGAAATAAAGAATAAACAAAAAGATAATAAAGAAATAATATAAAGAAATGAATAAATTAAATAAAGAAAAGAAAAATAAAGATGATAATAAAATGATAAAGAAAAATATAATAACAAACATTTTAAAAATAAAGATATAAAAATAAATAAATAAAATAAATGACTGATAAATAAAAAAGAAGTCAAATATAGAAATTTAATATAAAATAAGATATAATAAAAAGTGTGTAAAAAACAAAATAAACAAGAAATTAAAATAATAAGAAATTAAAATAAATAAGAGAATAAAAAATAAAGAAATAACATAAAATAAATAAAATAAGTAAAATAAGAATAAAAAGAATGAAAGAAGAAAATAAATAATACAAATACAAGAATTAATGATAAAAATAATAATATTCATTAAAAATAAAATAACAATAAATAAATATAAAATGAATAAAACTAACACTATATTCAAAGAAATAAGAAATGAAAAGAATAAAGAAAATAAGAAAGAGCATAAATAAATAAGAAATAAATAATATCAAATGAATAAAAACATAAATAAATATAATAATTAATAACATATTTCATTTAAAAATAAAACTGAATACAAAAATAAATACACTAAATTGAAATTTAAGAATTAAAATAATATAAATTATGAATAAATAAAGATATTTTATAAAGATACTGAAAAACAAAATAAAATAATAAAAAGTGAAGAATGAAGAAGAAAATATAATAATAAATTAACAATAAAAATAAAGAAATAAAAGAGAAGAAATAATAATAAAAGTTAAATAGAAATCATATGAATAAAAGAAAAATAAAATAATAGAAATGAATAAAAATAATAAAGAAGAATAAAATAAAATAAATAAGAAAACAGATAGAAAATAAGATAAATAATGATACGAATTGAAAATAATAGAATGAAATAATGAAATATGATAAA